CCCTTGGCTCCAGCTCGTCGTTTCTCACGGTTTATTCTCTAAGCTCATCTCCTTCGATCGTTCGTCGTCTCTTCACCGTTGCCGCCATGCCTTCTTCGACTTCGACGCCCACGAATCCACCTGCCCATACCTCACCTTCTCCTCCTGCAGGACTGGCGCCCAGTGAAGGCTTACCTATTGCAGCTCAAGCCGTACTACATCGTGAACTTTTTCACATACATTCGTCCCTGCAGCTGATTCTCACTATTCTACGAGGACCCTGGCACACATTTAGCTCTTCCCCTCGCTGATGCCATCACCTGTCCTCATCTTCTTGCTCACCTTCGTGGAAGCCAGCATCGACCAGACCAAACGAGCCACCTGCACCACCCTCGCCTACACGGAACAACATCTCACTACTTTTGGCTTGACGCACATTACTCGTTTCGACCGAGATCACGCTCGATTGATTGCCGAACTTCGCGGCCAGACTGCTTTCTCGGATCCACAAGTTCCGTCTACACCTCCTTTCTCCCTCCCACCACCTTTGACCTTCTCCCCTCCTCCTTCCTTACCGGATCCTTTGACGCGTACTTTGACACCTTCGACTGGACCGCGCCCTCTTGTTGTGACTACACCTCTACTCCGCTACGACATTGACGAGGACGACCCGCTCTCGATCCCGGTCTCCATTGCTTCCGCGGTAGGTCTGACCCTGTCTCTACTCGGCGTTCGATCAAAAAGTATTCAATACCTCACCTTTATTTTCGACACTTGCCTACCCACTCATTTCACACATTTGATATATCTTTTCTTTTCTTCTCTATCCCTTGGCTCTGAGTACACCGTCCGATTCGATCCGATTCGATCCGCTTTCCATTCTGACCTGACTGGAGCCATGTCCGGTACGACCCACCCGCCTTGTGGCCTTGCTCCGACACCAGGCATTCCTATTGTGGCGCAGGCAGTCCTACATCGGGAACTTAATTGCACATCCACACCATTCTTCAACAACCCCTCGCTCTTCGTTCCCCTCCGCTTCTCGATCGTGCGACTCATCCACATCTTCGCGCTCAACTTCAGGGCCTAGACAATACTTTATTGCTTGCACTACGTGTCAACCATATCGCTCTTCACTACACACCCACGAGCTCCTCACCGCCTTGGGCCTACTCCATATTTTGCACCACAGCCCGGAACAACTTGAAGCTGAACTTCAGGGTCGTACGGACTTTGCAGACCGCTTGCCACTTTCTACCTCTTCTACTATTACTACCCAATAGACCGGCTTAGTTTAAAAATACTTTTTAGATAATTCCTAAAATTTTAACTAAAACGTAGAATTCCTAGGAAATAGTTAAGTTATGTGTTTGTTAATTTTTTGAAAATAGTTAAACATAATTTTTAACTATGTTCTAAAATTTTAGCTAAAATATGATTTAACTATTTTCTGTAAATTT